ACACACACACACACACACACACACACACACACACACACACACACACACACACACACACACACACACGCGTGCATGCACACATACATGCACAGGTACATGCACACGTACATGCACACGTACATGCATACGTACATGCACACGAACATGCACACATTTTGCAGACGTACACACACACACACACATTCAGGCAGATAAAGACCCACATACTCTCCTGTAAAGACACACCCACGCAGACACACGCACACGCACACACGCGCACACGCACACGCACACACACACGCACACGCACACGCACACGCACACGCACACGCACACGCACACACACACAATCACAAACACAAACATGCACACGCACACAAACACAAACACGCAATAACGGGCGCGCGTGCACACACAAGCACATGCACTTTTCTGCTCCCCCTGGCCGCCAGTCCTGTCCTGAGTACCTGATGACCATTTTATGCTGACGTGGATTAAGTCTCCTCGCCCATCCGCCTCGACCTGCTCCAGCCAACAATGGACAGAAGATCTAATCGGCTAACCCATCAGCCAATCAACTAATGAACTAATCCACCAATCAATTCATCAACCAACAAATCCATTAATCAACCAACGAATCAATCAATCAATCAATCAATCAACCAACGAATCCATTAGTCAATCAATCAATCAGTCGAGAAAGCAATCAAGCAAGTAAGCCAACAACTTAAAGCTTACCTATCCATTAATCCCATGACCGAAGCCCCGGCATTGATTGCCCTTTACTCTCATCCTCAAGTGATAGCCAAGTGGGCTCCTCATCATGGAGGCTGCCATTGAGGTACGCACCATAAAGCCTGCTTCTGCGTGATCCGCATCTTCCACCTCTGGTGATTGACTGATGGCACAGGGGAGCCACCTGAGGGTTAGCACAGCTGTCAGGACCCTCTTTTCCTCCTCTCCCTCTCCCTCTCCCTCTCCCTCTCCCTCTCCCTCTCCCCCTCTCTCTCACCATTCCCCCCCCCCCCCCCCCCCCCCCCCCCCCCCCCCCCCCCCCCCCCCCCGCCCTCCTTCCTCGAGCCCCTCCCCCTTTCCTTCTATTCCTCTCTCTCGTTCTTTCTCTCTCTCTCTCTCACATTTCCCGTTCTATTTCTGTCCTTGTGTCTTTTGCTTACCCCCTTATCGCCGCACTTCAGCGATTGCTCACAACTTTTTTTTTTTTTTTTTTATATAAGGAAAAGGGCTCACAACTTGATCTTATCCTTATTCTAATCAAACGCTAACAAGTTGATCTTATATGATGAGTCGGTGAAACTCCGACGAAACAGTTTGTCACAGCCCCTCGTTTGTTGTCCTCTTCTCTCTCTCTGCCTACGGTTTTACCGGGCAGTTCTGTTTGTGACGATATATATATAAAAGGGCGGCGAGAGTGTCGTATGATCCAGGCACTCCGGCCTGGTACTCTGGCCTGGTACTCCGGCCTGGTTCATACGACAGCCGCTTTTGAATTATAAAAGCCAGAAAACGGGTCCAGCATCCCTCACATCATAGAAAAGGTTACAATCCATTCCAAAACTGCGCCGCAAATTTAACAAAATGAAAAAATCCCTATTGTGCACATCAGGGATAACCTAAAGAAAAAACTGCACTGCAAATTTAACAAAATGACAAAATCCTTTACTAGGCTGACTCATTACAGATATTACACTTGATCGTACTTTAGCCAAAAGGCGGCCAAGTACAGGGCCAAGGTCCCATTAACAAAGAGCATCGGATTGAATGCCTGAATCTGGTCGTGTTTGAGGACAGGAGCAGGAAATCGAGATAGAACTGCTTTTCCGTATCTCTGCATAAAACATAGCCAGAGTCAGGATTTCTATCCTATCCCCTTGGCTAGTGGGACCAGGGCTCAGGGACTGCATGGTACACACATGTGGCCTTTCTTTTTTTTTTTTCATTTTTGAGATTAACATCAATCTATTGGTTGGGAGCAGCACCGGCTGGACACACATCTAGCCTGTCAGTTCATCCCGTTCGTGATACTAAAACTCGATCCAGGCCAGCGACTGGCCTACCGTCTTCGCCCAAATAGAACGCCCGGTTATTATAGCTGTATCTGGACTGAAACGTGCACCAAATACGGCTATAATGACCGGGCATTCTATTTGGGTGAAGACGGTAGCTCAGTTGGTACACACCACACCTGAACTGTAGGAAGAAATACACACCTGAGTTCAAACTTCGCTCGAAGCAGCAGATGAGTAAAATATTTAAAAAAAAAACACTTGCCTCGTTCATCCTTTTTTTTTTTTTTTTTTTTTGGGAAAAGATTGGGTCTCTGGTAAATGTATACTTTGTGGAGGGAGGGGGACAGAGGGTCTGTGTCATCGGCAGGCCGGGGGCGATTTTTCCCACAAGGAAGGAGGATTGGATTAACAGCCAGAATCTGGATGTGTTTTACGCAGAGGTGCAGAAAAGCAGATCAATCGCCATTTTCCGCACTCACCTTTGCTTTGTGATCTTGCCTTGGGCACTGCTCCCGAATATTTTTAAAAATGAAATTTTAATTAAAAAGAAAGGGACTGTAGCACTAATTGAATGGTTCTTTTTCAGTAAGTGTTCAGGCAAGTTGTTGGCAGCTGCTTTTCCTTTCTTTCTTTCTTTTTCTGTCCGAACAATCAGATATCATATAACCGGGTAACGGCCCCGGCGTCCCTTACATCATTTGCTGCGGCCAAACGGGCTAAGCAAGGCACTCTTGGCCAAACCTATCCCAACCCCAACCCCAACCCTAAAACAAATCCCAATCCCAATCCTAAAACAAATCCCAATCCCAACCCTAAAACAAAAATCACGTTCCTAATTTAAGAAACCCAAATCCTAATCCACCCCTTCTCCAAACCCCCATTACCCCCATTATTAAGCGACCCTACCCTAAACCCTAATCTATAGCGAAATCCAAGTCAGCCTGAGGTAATAAATCACCAACCAAAACCACCTAAACAAGATTGTCAATCATCTAATCCTAATTAGTAATTACCCACGGACAGAATCCCAAAATGATTCACAAAGTTCCAACTCTATACCCTAATAGTGCACCTCCAATCAGCACCCCCCCCAAAATGACCATTTCGTCAAAATGAACATCTTATATTTTCTGAACGAAAAACACAGGATTCGTGAAAACATAACAAAACAAATTGTTAGGTTTGCACGAAATGTATTCAAAATTATGATAGTACGTTTTCCAGGCCTCCTTCAGGAACAAAATTCTACGTGAAGTAAAACAACCGCAAAAAAAAAACAAAAAAAATTATGTTTTTATAACCACTGGAAGTGGCGAGGAGAAAAGCAGTTTTTTTCACATAAAATCACTACTTGGTTAAGCAGCGTATGTTCAAGAACTGAAATATCTCATTTTTTAATGATATGAAAAAACCATGTTTATAGTGCTATAAGATGAATAGCACGATGAACGTATTTGAGATTTTTTCGAATGCTCAAACATGTTCTCAAACATATTCTCCCATACATGAGCGAACATATTATTTTTTACTGTTTATTTTATTTTTTTTCCCATTTGTTTTTTAAATTTTAAACTCGTGTTTGACTAAGAATTTGAAGGTGTCTCCCTGATAAAAGTTGTTTGTATTTTTATTTTAAATCACATATATTTTTTGCTAAGGGTTTTACTATTAACGTCAAAATTGATTTATAGTCCTATAAAATTATAAATTAGTTTTTGCAGATTTTGATTTTTACCTAACTGCTGAAAATGACTTTTAGTTCTATAAATGAGTATTCACAAAATCCGTTTTTTTTTACATCTTTCAAGTTTGCCTTCTAGTCCTTAAACATTGTCATGTTTGAGTTTTGCTTTTTGCAAATCTACTTAGAATGACTTATAGCCATATAAAAGGATTTTGCAAGAAAGGGTTTTCTCGCACATTTTGAGGAACCATTGATTTTTTACCTCGTTTTTTGCCTCCTTTATCGGAAAGCAGTTAAAAACGCTCTTTTTTGTGTAAAAAATAACTGTTTGACTTTTACTTTTTCATTCTAAAAAAAATATGAATTTTTGTCGTTTTGTTAGGTTTTCACGAATCAAGTGTTGAAATTGAAACCGAGTTTTTTGGCAAAAAACTCGTCAAAATTTGTTGTTCCTGAGGGTCCAGTGTTTGTAAAACGCTGGACCCCCTGGCTGTACATGGACCTAGCTTGAGATCAGGGACATCCAGACAGGAGGGTCCGGCGTTTGTAAAAGGCTGGACCCCCTGGTTGTACATTGACCTAGCTTGAGACCAGGGACATCCAGGTAGGACTGCGTGGATGTCCCTGGTCTTAAGCTAGGTCCATGTACAGCCAGGGGGTCCAGCGTTTTACAAACGCCAGACCCTCAGGAACAACAAATTTTGACGAGTATTCAGCCAAAAAACTCGGTTTTTATTTCGTTCAAAAAATAAAAGATGTCCATTTTGACGAAATGGCAGTTCCAACTAAAATCCAAATCAGCGCTCCCCGTGATGGACCAACCCAGGGGCAAAAGCAACAACCATTCACAAAATAAAATCACACTCTACACTGTGCATACCTCTAATTAACACCGCCAACCAGCAACAACAAGGTGGCAGATCTTACCTAGCGAGTATCACTACGTAACCCTAATTGTCGCCAACAAACGAAGTCAACGAAAACCAGTCCACAAAGAGTAATGATACACCCCAAAGTTCCCTAACCACCATGATTGGTACTATTCTATACCGACAAGACACAACAAAAAATGATCATCGAATCTAAAAACACAATGAAGAATCTGTGAAAAGAAAAGCACCAAGTGTAAGAGAATCATGAGCAACACCACCGTGACGCCCGAAGTAACGACAATTGCATCAATCAATCAACTTTTGACAACAGGTATTTTACCAAAAAGGAGTATAGTGGCGAGTGCGCCAACAATGAGTATAGAGGCGAACATGCCTACAGCAGCTCTCGCAGTCGCTAGGCCCGGGCTAGGGTACTCGTAACTTCGTTTCCCCCGGTTTCCAGTTTGCATGGGTTTTTCTTGGTGAATTTTGCCCTTCTGTTGGGGCTGAAGGGAGGGCAAGGACTCTTGATTGGCAGTTTCAAAGTGTTTTTGTCTATCTTCGTATGCTTTCTATACTCCATGAGATGATGCTGAATGGGTGCGGGGGAGAGGACAGACATGCCGATGAATCATTCCCGTGGGATTCTGGGGGAGATTGGGTGGGATTTCTGTAGCACGATGCGGTATTGCATCCTCGTCTGTTTTATACTTAGTGCCCGCTATGTTTGCAACTCTTTTGCGCGCTTTACATCGTTATCGCTGAGACCCTGGGAGAGCGCTGCTCAGTTTAGTTTCAAATTTTCGATCCACAGCTGCTTTCCCTTCAGGATCATTGATGGGTTGATTCGTGTATACGTAGGATGGCATGCGTTATGTTGGGAGGGATGCTTATAACAGACTTGTTTCTTCATAGTTGTGAATTTACTCCCTACAGGAATATCTCTGGGTGGGCGCCGGTGCAGTTCATCACGTCATAATTACGTAGGGTTTGGTTAGGATTCAGATTGAGGTCGATGTTCTCTACCCTGTGACCTTGAGAGAGGACTGCTGAGTTTAGTTTCAAATTTTCAATCAACGGCTGCTTTTCCTTCAGGATCATTGTAAGGCTGATTTGTGTATACGTAGGATGGCATGAGTTTTGTGGGGAGGGCTGCTTATTACAGACTTGTTCTTATTGGCGAGTCTACTCCCTCCTGGATAGTCTTTGTGTTAATACGTGTTGAGGTAGGGAGTCATATGTGCAGTCCACCTTGTCATAATCGCATTTGGAGTTATATAATTGTGCTCGATGATCCTTACCCAGCTATAATTCCCCCCCCGCTTCTTGGCTTCATATGGCTTATCAGCTACTGGTTGTCTATAGTAGGGCAGAGTTCGGTCTGTGGATGGAGCGGGGTTAATCCTTCCCTGCTGAGGAAGCAATCAATGCCCTTTGCTCGTTCTGTACTTTATTTGTAAAGAATAGCTGTTTTCACAGGAGCAGTGGCTAAGGCTAAACCAGCCTTAATGGGAAAAGGCGTGTCTTGGCGTTGTATTTCATGAAATTTTGATAATATGAGCCTTGGGCACTAGGCCCCACTAGTACCTTCAGCGCGTGGGAAAATAGGGAAAAGTGAACGTTTTCCCAAACTCCTAAAGTTTCGGAGGCCAGGCCCGATGACGACTACCATTGATAAATCTGATCAGCGGCCGTCGTTTTGTTTCGACCTCCGAACAGGTCGGAGGCCCACCGGAGGCCCGCTATTTTCCCACACGCCAAAGGTACTAGTGGTTACCAAAAAAAAAAAAAAAAAAAAAAAAACACGTAGACGACAATGATGGAAAACCCTGGTCGTACCTTGAAACCCGTTGTCAGTGACGGACCGTGAGCGCCGTACGATACTGGTGCATGAAGTCCGTTCTCTCACTCCCGGAGGGCGCTACTGGTCGGGGGACGACATAAAGTCCGTTCTCTCCCGAAGTCGACTCTACGTTTGTCGATGCACTCTTGTCCTTCCTTCATCTCCACCTCTTCGCACAACTCTTCTCACCTTTTCTTCTTCTTCCCGATTCTTTTCCATTTTCTCTTGTTCCTTCCTCAGCTTCATCTGCATCCATTCCTTCATGGTTTTCACGTCATCTTCAAGCTCACGCCTATTCTGCCAGTACCTGGCGTTATTAGTAAACGAGCCCTGGCTGCCCTGCTGCTGCTGGG